TGTGATATTTAGATGGATTTCTGGTTTGATTATTGTGAATTATTCTCGCTGATCGTCGATTATCATCAAATGTTTTTAAAAAATAAAATAATCGAATATCTTAGTAATTTGTAATCGCAGCATTCGAGAAAATAAAAAGTAAATTTTTATCTATTAATTTACATAAATGCTTTTTTGATTGAATAAATATAAGTTAAAAATTCCATGTACATCTTTGAAATATATTAACAAAATCGTAGAAAATAATTTCTTGAGAAAATCGGTCGTAGATTATTCCTTTTTAATATGATTAACTCTGAAGAATGTGAACCAGATAGTGATTTTCTACATTTCTTTGTTTTTAAAATATGCAACGCTCGAAATACAGGAGAATTATCGCGATTATTTATCGTCGTATCGAGGCCAAACAAAAGAAGGCGTTTATGTAACACAGTCACCGCTGTGAAAAACCGAGAAATTCGATGTCAATTACAAACTGCTTGAATTGCACAAATAGCATATTCCTCTCCAGATACGAAAGAATGCGAACTGTAAATATTTCGAGATATTATCCGTGTTGCAAGATGATTCGATATTTATCGGATTCATATGTGGATTTTTTTCTTCATGGTCGGTATTTGTTGAAATTGGAAAATTTTAATTAAAAAACATAATGTAATATTGATTTTATAAATTTGTAATTCTTTTCAATTTAATTATTATTCAAGATAGAGATATAGTGGATCATTTTATTATTTCATTTAGAATTAAGTTCATTTCGATTATCGTATCAGGAAATTGTAAATGTAAAAATATACGTGCACATCTCTTTTGCACTTTTTTCAAAATTTTTTACATTATACAAAGTAGCTTAAATAAATAATTGTCCATATATTTCTTCGAGCTGGTTTCTTCTTCTTCGAATAAGCATCATCATAATTGTTAAAAATTGAATCGAAGATTTCGATAAACGCCTCCGTTCTAACTTCCGACTTTCTAAACAGGCAAAGCGTGGAAAATTCTTTATATACGAAAAGTATTTGAAAATACTTAATATCCGTTCCACACATTTCTTCTTTCCAACTTGGACAAGTATTCCATCGAACGAAAGTATTAAAGTTTCTGGTGGCTCACGATATTTTAAACTTTGACCTTTGCCACTTATTTCACCCTCGCGATCCTTCGATCATTTGCATGCATATGAAATCACAGAGATTCTCAACAGTATCCGAGCATTATTCCATCTGTGGGAACGGCGATGTCGCGTTGGAATTAAAGCTTTTCCAAGCTTACTTTTCCCTCAATGTTTCATTAATGTTAATTTGAGAGAATTATCGAGCCCCTTCGAAAATTATCGTTATATATTATCAGAGTGTGCGTACGATTTCACTCGATTCCGTTTCTTGCACTATTCTTCCGTGAGAACAATCGACCGACCTGTGTACGAAACAATGGTACACATTTTCTGGTTTAATTGCTGAGCAAATGGCGGTGATTTCGTTTAAATTAGAGAAAGATTTCCTTTGCAATTTCTACTGTACGATTTTTGGATGTAATTACGGTTTATTGTGTACATTTTTTTCTTTTGTTTGTTATAACGTTTTTTTCTTTTTCTTTTTCAAGCACTTTTTAATTTTCTCGATTCATATGAGCAATATGAATTGAGGGATACAATTATAAGAACATTCTTGGATTCTATTTATCTGGAATCTGTTACGAGATCTATTTCGATTGAACATGTTTCAAGATAAATATTTGAAACGATTGAATTTTTATTTCTAGAGATTGATATCTGTTTATTAAAAAAAGAAAAAAGGATATGAAATTGAAATGAATTTGTTGTTTGTATGTGAAAATGTATATTTTGAACATTCAATGTTAGGATGCAATCAGAGATGCCAAATTGCATATAAACAAATCATTTTAATTTATTTGAAGGAAAATTTACTCGAAAGCCAAGTATTAGCATAGAGTTCAAGAGTTCAAGAATCTCTTTATTTAAGTTCGAAACTTTTAATTGACAAATCAATTAAATGATTATTGAAATACCGAAGCGATTAAATTGACTTGTCAATTGAAAGTTTAAACGACGATCCTTGAATTACAATAAATTATACGATAAATTATTTTCAGAGAATCTGATTTCCACTGGTTACACTCTCTATTTATTCCAATTTTCGAAATTTCTGTATTCTTTAGAATTTTTTCAAAAAGTAATAATAAGACAATGATACAAGAATACATTGTTGGCAACGTTTTGTAAGATTTCGAAGCAATTTTAAAATTGCATTTTCTGGATTTTTCTTTAACACAGATACATTTAAATCCCTTCAATATTTAACAATGATGCTTCGTTTAAATTTTAATTAATGATAAAGTCGAGAGAATTATCGCAATCAAGAAATATTCTTCCAATTCAAATTTCATTCCTTGTCAACAAAGTTTGGTTTTAAACATTTAATACATTCATTTACACAAAACATAAAATTCTTCTCTATAAAAAATACATAAATTCCTGATATATAGTTTCTTTTGTATTAACACATACTTTTTAAGAACTATTAAATATAAATAATATATAATAAATAAATAATAAATAGATAATAAATAATAATAAATAAATAAAATAATATATAAACTGATCCATAAGCCACAAATGCACATTCAAAAGTGTACAAAACGAAAGATCAGGCATTTTAATAATTTTCCAAAATGTCTCGTCATCCTTCCAAAACCGACTCGTTTCAATTACTCAAAGATAACGTTTCCAATAGTTGGAAATTAGGTCAGAAGCCTCTATCTAGCAGCTGACTAATTATCCAGGGGGAAAAAGGAAGGAGCGGTGGTCGGGAATGTATGGATTCCCTAATAAATCTCGCCTCGTATAATATATCGTGGACATTTATTAAGTGCACGCCGTAAACCGGAAACCGCGTGCAGCTGTTCGCAGAGGAACGCGCGAATATCGACAACAAAGAGACGAAAAGCTCGATAATCGAAACATTAAATCGGCACAACGAGCCAGCCCTGACGTAATTTTCGGTATTTCGCGGATCCATTTCGTCGGATTTAATCGGATTCGTCGATCTTCTGGAAATGAACCGTGGCCCGTTGATGAAAAAAAGATGAAACTCCGCGCTTTTAATAAGGTTCCGCGCGAATATAATTATAATCCGCCTCGTTAAATCTTCGTTTCGATCGGAGACAGGGATCTGCATGGCAAGATCAAGATGGAGGCGTTAAATTAGCGGAACGAGGTTCGTTCCTTCTGAGAAATTATAATTAAAGGTTTCGATTTAATATTTGGTTAATTAAAACTAATGATGATTTGTTTAATGAAAACTTCTTTTTAAAAGATATTGTATAACTTTGTTATATTTTGAGATATTTATTCGTTTATTTAAGTATTAATCGAATCTTTATTGTCTATTGTTATTACTGTATATTCTTGATTTGCTTTTCCAATGTGTCTTATAAAAAAAAAAAATGCATCTATAATTAGAAAATTTTCCAATATCAAATGGGTAATTTTTTATGTGAATTTTTATTAATGATAATGAAATTTGACTAATTATTCACATTTATTCACGGTAATTGTATAATATTATACTTTTGATGACAAAAATATAAATAGAATGAATAAATTAGGAATCTGTCTTAGAAAATTCGAAAAAAGAATTTTGTTCGTTAAGTTTCAACAAAAGTAAAAGTAACTTTATTAAAATTCATCAATTGTTCAAGAAAATTTATTAATAAAAAAAATTGTTATATGCAATATCAAAGATTTTAATTCCATTTCTTATCGTGATTTTGATTTATTATTTTTTTATTCTCTTTTTAAATATTTCACAAAAATTCCATAGTATAAAGATATAATTGAGCATGGATCATACTTATCTCCTATTCCACATCAAAATTATCGTGTGCACAGTTCATTTAAATCTAATAACACCGATATATTGAAAACTACTGACTATCCTGCCTTTAACACGATAGAAATGATAATGATTTGTGTTTTGGATAAATTATGATAATCACGTCAAATCGATATTAACTTAAGGTAATTGTTGTCAATTAATTAATCTCTGACAGCCGTTTATCTATTTACATTGAAAAGTCAGTGCAACACTGATTTATTTGTATATGTGTAATGCTTGATTATGCAATCATTAACCTGTGCCCATTAATTATTGATGCACTCTGCATTACTAATATTTTGGCTATTTGATTTGACCATGTCTTTTCTCGTATCGAAATATATATCCTAAGATACTATATCGTTCTTTTTTCGAATATATATTAAACACCAATTAATTATATCTCTAATAAACTCAATTTCAACAAATTTTCTAAATCTATTATTCATTTAAGACTCATTTACACATCTGTTGTTTTATTAATTTTTTTTATTAGCAAAGGAAAAAATAAATATATCATAACAGAAGATGAAATTTTAAAACATACATATTTTGTTATGATATCTAAAGTTTTTTTATAAAATAAAGAATTTATTTTAATTATTGTTAATAAATGTTAGAAATACATATAATATTTGAAAATAAACATTCTAAATTCCTTTGTTTTGTCTTTGTAATAACTTATTTAATCATAGGACACATTGGAATTAATCAATCAATTTTACATCAACAAATAATTCAATCATCAATTTCTCCCTATTTTTATATTTTCCTATATTCATAAATGACAAATTCATAACATACATCTAAATAACAAAACCAATTGTCTAAATGCTTTACGTTCTCATTACGAAACAAGTAAAAACTTTAACCATTTAAATCTGAACCAATCATCTTGTTCTTGCCAATAGATTATACAAAAACGATATAAAATAAAAGATAAAAATTAAAATCGAACGAAACATCCGTATAAACGGTAAAATACGATAAAATATCGACGATATAAAATCACGAGAAACGAGAAACGATAGAAATAATGAGATAAGCACGAAAACGCGAACGAGATCGATGATGATGATTAATTATGTGATATGAACACGTTAGTGCGGATGAGGGTTTCGACGGGACATACCAAACAAACGTGGTAGTCACGCATAACGGCAGTTGCCTGTACGTTCCTCCGGGCATCTTCAAGAGCACTTGCAAGATAGACATCACTTGGTTCCCCTTTGACGACCAACACTGTGACATGAAGTTCGGATCCTGGACCTACGACGGCAACCAGGTACACTACT